TGGGATGCCGTCTCCTCCTTTTGCGAAGCAGTCATGCTAGCTAAGGAGGAGGCGGGACGCGTGAGGCAGCGAAGCGCTGCCTCCTCGCAACCCAGCCATCGCGAAGGACACACCGGGCGTCGGGGATCGCGGGACGATCTCCGGCCACCGTAAGCGCGGGCCTGCGGACGGCGAGCATGGGTGGCTCCCCGTCCGACCAGAAACAGACCCGAGCGTACGGCGCGTCGCGTTCCGCGCGCGCCTCAAAGAGCCATCAGACCACCACAGATGGGGCCCAATAGGGCCGATGCCGATTCGGAGTCGCGGAGAACCTAACGGGTAACCGGGGCTCCGGCTCGACGTGCAGGAGAAGGAACGGGGTGGTTTTTAGTCAGTAAGAGTCTGACACTCCCTCCCGCCTCACCCAGGCGGGAGCAGTCATTTGATGATTTTCCCCCCATAAAAAAGAAAAAAAAAAGCTTACCGAACGCATCGGTGGGCACAGGCGATCGAGTCTAAGGGGGAAGCGTTGGCAGGTCTGCAGTATTTCCGAACCGATACGACCTTCGAACCTCCAAGAATAGAGTGTACTCCTCAAAAAGGCCGGCAACGTACCTGTGGCTCCTCTGGTGTTGCGGGTGTCCATGGGCGGCGCTGATCGCTTACCATCTGGTGATCCGTCTGCTCGTTTGCCTCCTATTCCATAAAAAAAAGTAGGATTGGGTGGTTTTTTCTTAGTAAGTGCGCTCGCCTCGGCTTAGGCGGGAGGAATCATTGGATGATTTTCTCCCCTCAGAAAAAGGGGGTCTCGTGACCCCCGTCTCTTCTCTTCCTACTGAAACGTCTTATGATAGCACGTTTTGCACAGTTTGCATTGCGCGTAGCAGGGGAAATAATGGAAGGAATGGGTACATAGGTCTATAGTTTAGTAATTTTTCTGAATTAATCCCAAGATTGAATCTGATAAGGAGTAGTTACTAGGTACATTAAAATGATGTCCATTGTATTTTTCCCCCCCATTTCTTTTATTTGCAATACACGCCATCTAGTATCACACAATATAACTATCATTAGCCAGCAAGGTCATGTTCAATAACGTTTCTCTACCAACAACACTGTTCAGGCGGATAAAATAGAAACTAAATAAACTAGAACAAAATACTCGCTTTTAGAAGAAACTAGCGACATTTCCAACTGCATATCTAAGTTGGTGCTACATTGTTATTACCTATATTGTTATCAATCAAGAGCTTGTTTATAAGTAACAAATTGTAAAAACTACATTCAAAACAGCTCCGATCGTTGCATAGATAGGAGTTCTGATATCTTTGCTAAATAATAGTTTTGCGCCAATTCTATTTATAACCCGACACTTGACATAACATTTTGTAATTTTCGTCATCTGCAAGAAACTGATTGTCAATATTTTTTTTTGTGTACCTGGAAATCAAATTATTGCGCGAAAATGGACGACGACAACTACAACAATGGTTGTTTTATTGACACGAATTTACCTGTGATGCGGCTTCAAACTCCATTTGAGGTAGATCTATGTGGAATGTATGGGAGGTAAGTAAATCATTTTTGTATTTTTTTAGAATTTACTAAGTTACTATTTATTATGTATTTTCTTCAACCACCGAGTAAAATAAGAGCCATTCTGACCTTCTGATAATTATAATTTGCGCGGGATATTCAAATTTACTTCCGGTTTTTAAAATCAATGGTATTTTGCATATTATTAGGTAGGTCTCATTCACTCATTCACTAATTGACTGACAATAACTAATTATATGTAGTAATTGTCTAAGAGATGATTTTTTTATCTAAATAAAAATACTAAATCAAGAACTTTATTATCATCGCCTTGGCCATTTCATTTTCTGTTTATGTCAGAACATTATTATTTTTTTTCTTGTGTAAAAGCACTATTTTATATGGATTGTCAGTATACATAATTATGTGAGGACCATGTCAGACTTAAGATATTTGTTTTCTCTTGGTTTTGTTTTTTGTTTTTGTAGGTACATTCTGTTATTTGTATGATGCGTCAGGTATGTCTCTCACATGTGTTTTTTTTAAAAACAGACTTTTTTAAAAGAGTTACGAATGGAGTTTCTTTCTCGTTCTTCTCCACTCGAATCGACATTTTGGAACGAGCACCTAGCTTCACTGACGGACAGACTGACAGACTATTATTTATTTCATATTTGTTGACGCTTCAAAGTACCAATTTATGATTTAATTGAAAAAATTGAAATAAATGCTTTTGAGTTTGATTTTGAACATTTTTTTCTTATACGTTGAGTACCGTCATTATAGACATAATTAAAGAACAATAGGTTGCGGTCACCGGTGACCGCTCGATGTTTGACAGTTTAAGGTTTAAACTTTGTTTCAAAATGTGTTTTGATGGTTGAATTATTGTGAAAAGTAATAGTAACATTCTGTGATGCGATACCAACAATTTCAATTATTGCAGGAGACTGCAGGCTGTTTGTAAAAGCAAATTTTAATCAAGGACAAAACCAAGACAAAACTTTATTATTTTGTCTTTTATAAAACTAGCAAGTACAATGAAGATTCTGCTTAATATCTTCGTGATGAAAACAAATGTTGTAGATAAAAATATTGTGCATATGACATGTATCTTGCATTCTTTTTTAAATTGTCGGATACCGTACGCAGTACTTCTTGGGAAATGGGAGATCACACGTCAGATTATCTTGATTGATTATTATCTCGTCTCATGTATTTTTTTGTTTGTAAACGTGGATTACGCTACGTGGCAGAAATTACGTGGCAAATGTTACGTGTTACTGATTACGTGTGTGGCAGGGCACTCACCACGTGGCCATTGCTATCGATGCCAAGATATTTTAATAAATTAATGGTTCTACGTTTTTTTCTTTTCATCTATTATTTTAGTCAATCATATAAGTATATGGAAAAGGTCTACGGTCTGGAAAATATAAATAATCGGAACTTATGGTAATTTTAGGTTAAGAATAAGGTAGAATTTTTATGTACTGGACTGGTTCAATTGACGAAAGCATTATTTTAAAACTTTTATTTACAAACCTATTTTGGCACAAAAACTGCTTGCTTTATGATTTCCATAGACATTTTTTACATCGAAAACTACGCTCAGCTGTTACGCTGTTACTGTCATTGTCAAAATTGGCACTTTTGCAGTTGTCACAGCTGTCATTATTAATCATTAATCCGTCAAAAAGAAAAATCACAACATTCGAATGTTTTCTCAAAATTAAATATTATCCATTCGGTTATGGCATAAAAAATTAACAATAACGACAAAAAATGAGTTCACCGGTTAAAGGGGTTTCATTGCCACAATCCCCTGTTAAAGGAGGTACACCAATAAAGGTGCCTGGTACACCTGCGGACCTGGCACAGTCCAAGAAGTCAAGTAGAACTTCCTCACCTACGAGATCAACAGGTGAAGCTCAACGCTTTGTCCATCAAAATTCTGATGATGAGGACTATTACACGACACCCGATTTTATCTATGGCGGACCGTTTATCACCGTGAATAGACCATCCCCATTCTTAGATACTGGGACACCTATGAATTTGCCGCTGCAAGGGACATTTAAAAAGTACGTATGATGTTCATGCCTGAGGCCAATTAGAAAAAAAATCGTCCTATCACCTGATCATTTCCCGCGAAAATATATGTCAGAATTCGGTTTTTGAAATAAGAATCTGTTGTATTACTTTTACGTAATATTAATTTATATATGTTGTCGATAATATTGAACGATCTCATATGTTTATCTCTTTTAACAACCTCGTATTGTGTTATCTGGCACTAACAATAGAAAACATGGATTAGGTACATGAATACAATAGTAATTTAATTAGAGCTATAGTAACCTTTATTACTGCTATAATACTTTGTTAGCCAATATGACAAGCCAAAAACAGAAAACACAAAACGACAAAAACAATGACAATGACATCCAGGCAGAATGAGAGAGGTGATTTCTCTTTCACTACATGAAAAAAAAATCTATATGGTGCTGTTGTTCATAACTGGGAAATCTTACTTCAATAACTCATGTTGCAATAAGTTTTCATAAAGGATTATTATCTGTGATCGGCAGGACTTCCTCTCAAGATCTACTTTCAATACTATGCAAGTCAAGAATGATTCCTTCAAGTTTTATTTGATATCGGAATCAATGATGCATTTTTTGTTCAAATTAACCTTTAACTCTTCGAGTACCGTCATTATAGACACAATTATAGAACAATAGGTTGCGGTCACCGGTGACCGCTTGGTGTTTGACAGTTTAATGATCATTTTTTAAATAAATTAATAAAAATAATTAAAGTTAACAAATTAACTCATTACACCTTTGTTTAGGTATTTTGTAATATATGATTTCAATTGATTGGAGTGTGTATGTTTTATAGCCTTCCTTGATAAATCCAGTATGCACCATCAACAGAATTATTTAAATCGGACCAGTAGGTCCGGGGATTAGTACTAGATTAGACTAGTATTGTAGAATATAAAGGCTTGTAGGTACTTATAATGTTACTACAAAAATTATGTCAGTATAAATGACATAAATATGTCGCTTATGGTACTAATTATAGAAATGTAAGAGAAGTTGTTTGCCATAATTCTGTCAAACAAAAAACAACTCTAAATCATTGCAGTAAAATTCTAACTCAATCACAAATTTCCTAATAATGAAATTGTGAGGAACGATACTCCTTGAATTATCAACCTTATGGCTTATGTATTAAAGGTGACATTTATTTCTTAAAATTGCGATTTTGTCATAGTTTTGTGCTGCTGTAATACAATCAATAATTTCGCATTGCTTTGTACAGCCCGGATAGCTCAGTCGGTAGAGCATTGGACTTTTAATCCAAGGGTCCAGGGTTCAAGTCCCTGTTCGGGCGGCTTTCTTTTTGTTCATATTTTCTTTTTATTATTATTTGTATATTTATTTTATTTTATTTGTGGTATATTTTCTTGATTTATTTTTGAAATATATATTTTTGCGGTTTTTTCTAAATCAAATATTTGTTGAATTTTTGTTTTTTTTTTTATAATATTTTTTAATTAGAAGTATTTTTTTATTTAAAAAATAATTCGTAAAAAGGTTTTTTTTTTATTTTCAGGAGCTTCGCGTATTTTTCTCTGAAAGACAGGATACCAGTGATATTAACTAAAATAATCGATTATTTGTCGAGAGATGGAGCCAATATTAAATCTGCCAATGGCGCGGTATGTATTTATTTAGTAAAAAAATATTTCGGTTTCTTCACTTATTTAACCCAATTTTTAAATTTTTGTCTTAAGTCGATGCTATAAAAGTATTGTGTTTGCATTCTACAGTAACTTTAGAGAGAAAAAAAAAAAAAACAAATTGGCGCGGGAATCCGCTGCCATGGTAACGAAGTTTCCAAATAATCAACAATTTTCTTTCGCAGTCGGAGGAAGATCTCAATAACTTTATGCAATCTGTGGTCAAGTTGAAGAACGATTTAGTGACGAATAAAGATTATGATCCATTTACTCTAGATACGCCTAATGCTAAAAAGTGGAACATTTGGATTGAGAATCAAGATAATAAGAAATATTTCAATAATACTTGGATGTTTACCGAATGTTATTTGTACAGGAAGCTTAGAGAAGGTTGTGAATTGACGTAAGTAGGAAAATATAAATAATATTAAGTAACTTAAAGAAATATTGAATCAACGCCATCTACTTTGTAATTTGTGAATTGTAATCTTGTCTGTGAGCTACTAGTCAATAGATGGCGCTTTAAATAAGTTGACAATCATTTTACTTTCAGCGATTTAAATTAATTATGAAATGTATTTGTAATGAAAATAAAAATTATTTTAACTTTTTTTATTTTGATATTATATTTTTATGACATTTTCAGTTTTAAGTTCCGCTTTTTCCCGATAGATGGCGTTATAACAAATTTTCTTCAATTGCAGCAAAGGTTTACAGAATTTCGATTATTTCGAAGAACAAAAGAAGAGTGCTTTTGATAACAACGTAGAATTGATGTGCATTGTCGCTGACAAAATGGTGAACATGGTCCACAAGTCGGAAAAAGACAAACGGAAAGCTGACTTCGTAACTTTATTGAAGGTAACTTTATATTTGAAGACTCTCATTTTCAAAAAGGCTCATGACTGTTGATGATGTGAAAGTGACATATAAAAATTGTAGCAATTGGAGTTCTTCAGTCTCTGCCTTCCCCTACGGCAGATAGACACAAGGTTATGTATGTATGTATTATATTTTTTATTTGTAGACTAGCTTCTGCCCGCGACTTCGTACGCGCAATCCTGTTTTTCCCGGAAACTAAAACTAAACTAAACTTTTTTTTTTCGAACGGGATAAAAAGTATCTTATGTCCGTCTCCTGGCTCTAAGCTATCTCCATACCAATTTTTAGCTAAATCTGTTCTGTCGTTCTTGAGTTATAAGTGGTATAACTAACACGACTTTCTTTTATAGAGGTATATATAGATTTTATTAGTAAGTTAAAGTTAGCTATAACTGGACTGTTTTGGTGGAGTAGTCATAAGCAAGGAATCAAAGGTTCGATTCCTGTGTCAGTCAAAAGTATTACATACATACATACATAACTTCACGCCTGTCTCCCATGGGGGTAGGCAGAGACTGAGGACCGCCAATTACTACGACTCTTACGTAACTCTTTCGCTTCAATAACAGTCATCAATCTTTTCATGTATTTTTCATTTTCGAAAGTATTACATACATACTTATTATTTAGAAAAAAATAAATAGTAGCACGGCGTATGAGTACGGTATAGTATATGGTAATTAGTTCAACTGTTATAGCATGGAGTCCATAACACAACTCGCAGTCCAACTAGTTTGAATAAATAAAATGAAGGTCTTACTCACACTCAGTTTTCTCACAATTGGGCGAAAATTCAGTATATAAAGTATTACATTTTCAATATCCATTTTAGAAAACGAAGGGATAGGCACACATTGCGGCACTTAATGCCACTGTACAATGTAACACCCACTTTTCACTATTTATGTTATGAGTCCCATGCAATAGGGGGTAAGCATATTGCCATATACCGGACACTATTCCAGCCTCCGTGCTACTACTGAGAATTTTACCACCATATCTAAAACACATAAACCTCTTTCAGATATGTCTCTGGGCGAACAAATGCGACCTCTCCCTCTCCCTCGGGTCCCAAGTCAACCTGATCCAAGCAGCCAAGGACGCTACGGAGAAACTACGTCTGAACCCTCCCCCGCCTCCTCCCCCTCCGAAGAAGGGTAAGAAGGGGGGGAAGCCCGCTAAGGAGGCCGCGCCACAAGCACCTCTTGTCATCAGCCACGATCCTTTCCAAATGATTCTTGATTTGAAGGATAAGGTAAGAAATATGATTTTTAGATTATTTTATGAAATAGGACGCAAATGAGCTTTCGGATCACCTGGGCCTTTAGCCAAACGCCACTTTAGCGCTTGTCTACAGAGAGAGTAGAAAACTAAATGTACGAGGATGACATTGACAAGTGTCAAAATTTACGTCAATTCCATCTAATTTGGTTTTATATTCTACAAGTAGACAAACGCTAAATGGCATTTGGCTACAGCTGCTGGGCGCTTACTCTTGAAACCAATCTCAACGTCAATTCAATTTCAATCCAATACAATCTCAATAATTATTCAATGTCAAAACTATACAACCCCTACCGTAGCTGTTACAATAGCATTCAGAGTACGGAATATAAAGCCAAACTCAGTACCATTTAGTTCATTCGATATCCACGCAATACGGAGGCAATCAGCGCTAGTGTTACAACTCAAGAGTACGAAATTTCACAATACTAATGTCGATTAATCGGAATTGGATTCTTATTGGATTGAAATTGCATTGACATTGAGATTGGTTTCAAGAGTAAGCGCCCAGGGCTGAGTAGAAACCGACGTGTGAGTGATGTTACCGGAGGCCCGGAGGCTTATCCTAAAAAAAAGTTACAAGTGCGTTTCCCGGTCTTGTAGCGGTAGGGGACTTTTGAGGATTGAGAGACTTAAGCCAAGGATACAGTAGCCATCCTTACGAGGTGTATCGTGCTAAGACTTTTTTTGTAATACTTATTGTGAGAGTAGTACTTAAATTAATTGAATTATTAATTTTACTTATGTCACTTTGAAAATACTCTCTTTTCAAACTATACCAGAGCCCGTAACGGCGTAACCATGGATGGCAAACGAAGTCTAGATGCCAACCAATAGAATTCAGTGTGTTTCACGACAATTTTAGTATAAATTGTATGTTTGTGTCCACCTAATTCGTTAAAAAAAGAACCAATGACTATTTTTAAAAACAGAACTTACAGCACTCTTGTTAAACAAATGTTATTACTCTGTGTCTGATTATTTAGCTGATAAATTGTACCTGTGTCATAATATGTCTGATGATGAATGAGTCAATGTTTGCAACCCAAAATGGTAGAATGTACATTATTATTTCCATATATTTATTTAAAATTCTCTAAAAATTACATTTTTAAATACTACTTATAAAAAAAAAAAAAAAAAAAAATTAAAAATATAAAAAATTGGAGCCGACCAGTAGCGGGAGCATGGTCCAAGCTACCGGTGGTTAGGGCTCCAGAGACAGAAACCTCCTCACAATGCGCGCCGTTTCAAGGAGAACTGCCTTCTGTATCAGGCCCTTGACCCAACTGCCTAACGCTAGCCTCCTAAGGTGGTTGTCGAGGCTATTAGGGATTAACCCATTGGCCGACACGACTATCGGCACAATGATAGCCGAATCTA